ATCATTTTAATTTATCACTTATTTGTTTTAATTGGTTTTATGTAAATAATTCATTATTAGCGTGGATTTTATATGTATATAAAAAGAATTAATTTTTTATTTGTTTATATGTTTACAATTTGCTATTATTCACTATTAGCATAAATAATTTGTTTATTAGTTTGTGTAAATAGCCATACGATAGATAATTTAGAATGTCTGATGTAATTATTTTAATCATTCAATGTTTTTATAAAATCAACTTATAATAAAATTGAAAAATTTTTTTTGAAATAAACTGAACTTTGAATAATTTTGGCTGATGTAAAATTAAAATAATTTTAAAATTCAAACTGATTTATTGTTACCATTGAATTATTTATGAATGAAAGTTATATTTAAGTGAAATTATAATTGTAATTTAAATAAATTTGAGAATATATAATACTTCTACTTTAGCATTTTATCATTTCTTAATTTTCATCCAATAATTATTTTCATAATAAGTTTATATGAATTTGAAAATATTTTATATCCTTTTCAAGCATTTACAATTTGTACGAATGAATGTTATCGCAGATAAATATGTTTTTTCTGATATGAAAATTGTAATGAATTAATCAATTAAAATTCAATTACAGAAATAAAAGTTAATTTAGATTAAATCCATTCAATGTATTGTATTAATTGTATATATGTATTCTATTCCGATTTTATTATTAATTACATTCAGTCTATTTGTTCATAATGGCATAAATTTGATTTTTTTTTTTCTTTTTTGGTAAATTAAATAATTCAGAAATCAGTTGTTTACAATCTTAGAATAATTAAATCTTAGAGAATTGCTTAATTTAATTAGAAAATTCTCTCTTTATTTCTTTAGAAAAAAGTGCAAAATTTGTTAGCAAAGTACTTATTAATTTAGAAAGAAAGAAAAAAAAAATTTTTTTTTTTTTTTTTTTTTTTTTTTTTTGTATTTCTACCGTTGTTTTTTTTTTTAATTTAATTGAAAAATTAATCAAACTAAAAAGATATTAGATTGTTAGAAATTTGAAATTTCTCGAAACTTTTAATTAAATAACAATTGCTGCATAAAAATTCTTTTACTTTTCAATATTGCCATTTCTTTAATTGATTTTTAAAAATAGTTCCGTTTTTTTTTTTTATTGATAGCAAATTTTAACTGATTATATATTTCTCGGAATGATTTTTAAATATTATCATACTTTTTTTCTCCTTCTCTCTCTCTCTCTCCCTCTCTCTCTCCCTCCTTCCTTACCTTTATTATAAAACGTTTTCATCAGTCAATGTGGATACGATTACTCAGTGGTACCAGACGTTACGGATGTGTATTCGAATTACATACTTCTTTTTTATTTCCTTTTTCTTTTTTTTGTTAATTATTATTTAATGCTAATTAACGAACGGTTTTACTTTATGATTTTTATTTATTTATTTATTTATATTAATGGATTAAAACAAATAATAAAATTGAAAAATTCTGAACTTCAATAAAAATTCTGAAAATATCATTCATTACTTTATCACACAGTTTCTATATTCTTATTAAGTTATTAAGTTAGAATTATTAATTAATAAGTTCAAAAGGAAAATAAAAATCCATCTTCAATAAGTATTATTTGATCGAATTTTTAACATTTTTCTTTTTTTTTTTTTATTTCTGACGATTAGTAATTGCAATGATATATGGAAAACTCAGTTTGAATCCGGATTTCTGTCTGAGTTCAATTTGAATCCAGATTTCTATTCGAATTCAATTTGAATCCGACTTCTGTTAGAGTTCAATTTGAATTCAGATTTCTATCTGAGTTCAATTTGAATCCGGATTTCTGTCTGAGTTCAATTTGAATCCAGATTTCTAATCGAATTCAATTTGAATCCGACTTCCGTTAGAGTTCAATTTGAATTCAGATTTCTATCTGAGTTCAATTTGAATCCGGATTTCTGTCTGAGTTCAATTTGAATCCAGATTTCTAATCGAATTCAATTTGAATCCGACTTCTGTTAGAGTTCAATTTGAATTCAGATTTCTATCTGAGTTCAATTTGAATCCAGATTTCTGTCTGAGTTCAATTTGAATCCAGATTTCTGTCTGAGTTCAATTTGAATCCAGATTCCGATTCCTGAAAAGTATAACAAATTTATGATTTGAACAAAAAACAAGAAAAAAAATTTGCGTTAAGGCAGTAATGAATGAATGTGGCGGCAGTTGATGGAATGACAAGAATATATAACACACATTTGTATTATTTATCGATGAATTCAAAGGGTGCATCGACCGCTTCGTCAACGGACAAAACTGTACATAAAGCGCCCAACATACACACACACACATACATACATACATACACACACACACAGACAGACACAGACACACACATACATACATAACCAACAAATGCTATTAAATTGTTTATTTGAAATGTTTTCGCATTCTTACTGGTAGTTCTCAGATTTCAATAGTTGTGAAATGCTAACTGCGCCTGACATACATTTTATAACATTTGTAAATGTTGACGTAATAGCTTGTCTGCATGTTTTGAAACATTTTTTTTGTTTTTTTTTTTTTTTTTTTTTCGTTTTATTTCAATGATTTATTATTTTCAAAAAAAAAAAATGAAAAAATGTTTGTCTTTCAGCATCTTTTGAAATATATTTATTTCAATGATTTAATGATTTCAAACAAAAAAAAAAGAAAAAAATCAAGAAATGTCTACCTGCAGATTTTGAAATTATTTATTTATTTATTTCAATGATTTATTGATTTCAAAAAAAAAAAAAAAAATCAGAAAATGTTTATATGTCTGCATGTTTTGAAATTATTTATTTATTTGTTTATTTCAATGATTTCAGAAAAAAATCAAGAAAATGTTTGCCTAATCGCATATTTTAATTCTCGATATAACATTTCTCAATTTCTAAAAATTAATTTTCTTTTTTCCTCTCTTCATATTTTCAATTTGGTAATGCTGTTGAAGATTGGAGTAATTTTGTTCACAATATTTCATTTCATTTCATTTTATTTTATTTTCTAAGCTTTAATTTTTAGATATAAAATTTTTTTATTAAATTGTAATAAAATTTCATTCTTTATTGTTGCAAAGCAAAAAAAAAAAAAAAAAGAGAAAATATAAAGAAATGAAGTTGAATGTTTTGTGTAAAAAGTTTTTGCTCATCTATTAAATTTTTTTTTAAAGAATTTAATTTTAAATGGAAATTTTATAAATTTCAATTTTATTAGATAAAATTTTGGTAACTGATGGAAAACCTTCAAAACTTTCTTTAATAGAAACACTACATCTAAAATTGAATACAATACAGTCATATAAATTTAAAGTAAAATTTCAAAAAAAAAAAAAAAAGAGAAATTGGTAATATGAAGAATTAATGAATCATTTTTATTTATTTATTTATTATTATTATTTTTATTTTTTTAAAAAGTTTCAAATGTCATCGTGCGATGATCAATTAATTAAGTCATATTATTATTGATTTATTTGTCAACAAATTCAATCAATAGTTTATTTAACCATTTATTACACAACAAAACTATCATTTCAATTATATCGAACATTTCCAGAAAAAAAAAAAAAACTTTTTTATTTATTCTTTTATATTTAGCATAGTGAATTTTTTGAAATAGCAAAAAAAAGAAAAAAATCTGAATTGAAATTGCTTATTTCCGAAGCCTTTGTTAAAATTTCATCAGAAAATTCAATTTCTTAATGAAGTAATTATTATTAATAAGCAGAAATATTTTCAATGCTTATTTTTACTTTTACTTTTAGTTCGTTTTTTTTTTTTTTTTTTTTTTATTTCTTGCAAATATTCAAACGAATAATTGTATTTTATGCTACTTCTTTCCTACTGAAATCTAATAGTGATTACTCGGGTAGCTTTCAAATTGCTGCGAAATCTTAATTTAATCCATAATTTTTGAAGCCAATCTTTTATTTTAAAAATTAGTGCTCCTCTCTTTACCTAATTTCTCTTTTTCTATATATATTGCTTTTAAAAAAATTAAAAAATCTATTTTGATTCTTTTCGTATTAAAAGATGAAACAAATTAATTATTCCATTATTTTTTATTATTATTATATTTATTATTATTATTATTACTATTGTTGCTATTATTATCGTTATCATTACTATTATCATTTACTGTTGCTAATTATTTTTATTATTATAATTATTATTATCATTATATATTACTGATAAATTATGATAATTATTATTATTATTATTATTTAGTATTGAAAATGATAGAATTTTATGGAAAAGGAAGAAGTAATTGTAATATTTTGATTGAAATATAATACTTATCAAAATTATTCATATTTTAAAGATTTGAAATTGCAATTTTGAAATTTATGCTAATATTAAATTTTAATATTATTGTTGTATTTACATTTATTACATTCATTACTTTTACAGTTTCTATTTATCATGCAATAACGAAACATTATTTATAGCATAGCGTTGTAATCTATCATTCATTTCCTATTTACTTTTCCAATCTCAAATAATCATTCTAATATTTTCTTCTTCAATTATTATCTAAATTTCGCTTAAATTTCAAATTTTAAGTTTCAAATATTTTCAAAGTTTTGAAAATATGTTATATTGTGTTTAAGTTAAAAAAAATTTTTTTTTTAAGTTAACTTAAAATGCAAATGCTTAAAATTTGAAAAAAAGAAATCCTTTGGTTTAAATATTTATTAAATGTTATTGCATATTTATACTTTTTCCATCTTTTTTTTTTTTTACTTTTTTTAATGACTATCAATTATTAATTTTTAAAATTAATTCATTTGCATAATGTAATAAATTAATTTAGATCTAAGTTTTCTCAAATGAAATTAATATTTCGATAATTCTATACATAATACAATTGAATCATTGCTAGTTTAAAATTTTGATTTATAAATTTTTTTAAGCAACTATTGTACATTCTTTAATTTAAAAATTTTTAATTTGTAAATTTTGTTTAGAAAGCAACTATGGCATCAACACGACACGAAATTTATACACGTGCGCAATCAGCTGATGATACAATAGCGCCAACAAATGCTAAAACAGATAATGAGAATTTACAAAATCGTGAATATTACTTTGGTCGTGGTGATTTGAATGAACTTTATTGCTGTCAAATGGCTGGTGTTTTACGAATTCTTGAAATTGTATATATTTTGTTTTTTATTATTCATTTTTTAATAAATTGTTGTACAAATAGAATAGAAAAAAAAAAAAAAAAACAATTTAAATTGTTCAAATAAGTTTCAAATTTCTTTTTAAAATCATATATTCTCATATAAAATGGCAGCAAATAAATCATAATTACAATAATTGTTTCAAATTTTTTTTTTTCTTCTTAGATCAAAAAAAAAAAATTTTTTTTTTTTAATTTTTTAGGATTAAATATTCCAATCAAAATTATACAAAATAAATCTTAATTGCAATAAAATGAAAATTTTAAATGAATATTTGCATTTTTTACAGACCATAGGCTTATTAATTGTATCATCAATTGTATCAGTATATGGCCCAGGACCATTTAAAGGAATTCTTTTTGGCCAAACATTTTTACTTATCTTTGCTGGCATTGCTGTTTGTTTTTCATTCATTTTTCTTGTCGTTTTTCTCTTCCAACTGCATCTAACACATCTTGATTTTTGGCCATGGAAAATTTCTGTAAGTTTTTTGGCTGATTATAAATTTAAAAAAAAAAAATTAAAATTTTTGTAATAAGAAAAAAAAAAAACAATTACATAAATTTTATTGCAATTATTAAAAATCATGCAATATTTGTAATTTTATTTTGTAAAAACAAAATAAAAATTCTTTATTTTAAATAAAATTTGAAATCGTAGCTCAATCTAACATTGCTTAACTTGGCCTAGAAAGCTTAACTTAAAATTTAGTTTTGCTTAATATAAACTTATATTACTTGGCTCGTTTTCATTTTAACTCATTAATTGTAATAATAAGTAGCAAAAAATTTTTTTTTTTTCTTTTAATATTTGTCAATGTAAACTTTTTTTTCAAATGCTAAAAAATACTGTGCTTTTTCATTTATTCATTAATTAAAAAATTAATAGTAATAAATAAAATATCAAAAAAAAAATGAATAAAAATATTTTTATTTCTTTTTTTCTTTTTTCTCTTTATTTTAATTTTTAGACTTTTGAAAAGTTTTTTCAAAAAAATAAATAAATAAAATATATTTACTCTTCTTTTTTCTTTTTATTTTCTTGCTTTTTTTTCAAAAAAAAAAAATTTAAATTAATTATAATTTTTTATTAAAGGATTTTATGTTCTCGATGACAGCCTGTCCATCGTATATTATTTTGGGCTTTATCGAAGCATATTATTCAACAGGTGCATGGTCAAATAATTGTAATGATATTGGCTCAGATGGTATCATTCATAATCATTGTCGTACAATTTTTGAATGGGTTTTTGCATCGGTAATTATTTATATTTTTTTTTTATCAAAAAAAAAAAAAAATTAAATTTAAATTTTTTATTTATTAATAAAGAAAAGATAAAAATTTTTTAAATTTACTTTAACAATTTAGCAAATAAAACAATTTTGTGTTTGTTTGTGTTTTTTTCTTTTTTTTTTTTTTGTAAATCGTTCAAAAAAAAAAAAAAGAAAAAACCATAAAAAGTTTGGTATTTGTTTTAGGAAAAATTAAATTAAAATTTTTTTTAATTAATTAATAAAGAAAAGGAAAAATTTTTTAAATTTACTTTGGTAATTTAATAAATAAAACAATTTTGCTTTTTTTTTGTGTCAATCATTCGGAAAAAAAAAATTAGTTTTTTGTTTAAAAAAACATGAAAAGTATTAAAATGTAATGCGAATTTAACAAAAAGATTTTTTTTGTTTAGAAAAATCATTGATAGGAAAAAAATAAAACGAAGGAAATAATTTTAATGAATAATTAAAATTAATATAAAATATTTTTTTTGTGCTGAAATTGTTTTTTTTTTTTTTTTTTCAGCTTCTTTCATTTCTCAATGGATTTTTATATGGAATAAGTGCATTCTTGACACGTCGTAATCAATATAATTGACTTATTGATTTATTGATTGATTGATTTGTCAATTGCATCGTCAAATTGAAAGAAAAAAAAAACAAAACAAAATAAAATAAAATAGAAATGTTGGATTTATTGCAAAAAGAAGAAAAATGATAAAATGAAGAGGAAGTGGAACTTTATTTCTGTTTATTATTGTTATAAAAATTATTTAAGACCTAAAATCGGATCAAATCAGGTCAGGTCAGATTAAAGGTCAACTAATGTCATCTAATAATATCATTGGAACATTTTGGAATGCTCATAAGAAATTATCATTATACATTTGTATTATTTCACCGGAAATCTCATCTCTCTCCCTTTCTCTCTCTCTCTCTCTCTCTTCTCTCTCTCTCTCTTCATCCATTTGTCTTTCCTTCTCTCTAAAATTAAGAAAAAATAATTATTTAATCAATTCTGATTACAATCTTTGATATTTCATACATTATTTAAAATATTATTTAACTTTTATCTTGCACTGTTCTCAAATTTCGTAAACATTTCCGTAGCAAACGGAGAAGTTTCCGGAAATTGTGTTAATTTAATTATTTATTTAGATTATCGATTTAAAATTATGCTTAAATTCATGTGTTAATCGGTGATCTATCAATTTATATCATAAGATTGATAATAAATGATATGAATTCCACGTATTTCCACGTGAACAGCGTAACCTTTAAATGCCCACTTTTTTTTTTCTTTAAATTCCATTTCCTATCATAGTTGTATTTAATTATTTGTGCAAAAATTTCAAAATAGGAGAAAGAGAAAATTCTAAATTATACTTTTTTTTTTTTTGTTTTGCTAAATTATAAAAAATTAATTAAATTTTGACTATTTACTAATTGCTTAATTTCAAATTAAATTTTTTTTTAATTATATCTCTGCAAATATATTTATGTACAGTTCATGTATATTTAATATTATTAGTAAAGCTACAATTCCTTAATTAGTAAATATTCAAAATTTTGATCTTTGATTCATCAATGCTTTCTTTCTTTTTTTTTTTTCTTTAAGCATTAACACTTTTAATAATTTAATTAGTTTGGAATTATTTAGTTCTGATAGTTCTGATATTTAGTTTGGAATCACAGTTCTGATACTTAGTTTGGAATCATTTTAGGTTATTTTGAAATTTAATAATTTAATTAATTTGAAGCAGTTCAGTTAATTTAAATACAATTTAATAATTTAATTAATTTAAAATTGTTTAATTAATTTAAATAAAATACATATGCTTCTTTCAAATAGTGATATACATACATATATAAAATATATTTTACAAACAATTAATCAATCACTTAAAAACTTATGTAATAATTGAAAAATTATTATCGATTGATCATAATATTAAATAGCATTAACTGATCGATCATTTTATTTCTATCTTACTAATATATATTTATTCTATATACTTTATTATTTATTCTATTTACTATACTTTATTTTTGGTTTTTTCTTATTTTTTTAACACTTTCTTTTGTCGTTTTTTGGGTAGGGGAAAATTTTGCTTAACATTTTATTTAAATTTGAAATTCCAATAACAAGCACCATTGATACCTCGGTTCCAATTAGTTACCTTTTTGTTTCACTGACATTTAGCAAGCTACCTTTAATATTTCAGCTTTTTTTTTAAATTATATTTACATTTATTAAACTGCAAAATATCTTTTGTACCTCAATTTCAACTCTATATTAACATTTTTTATTTATGTATACCAAATGATAATAAAGCATTTTACTTCCTTAAATACATTTATCATTTTTTCCTTTTTTTTTTTTTTGTTAATTACATAAGAACAGCACATTTACCTTCTTGAAAAAAAGGCACAAGAAATATACACATAAGCTAATAAATATTCAAATATAACTTAAATTTTTAAATTAGAAAGACTTATTTGAAAAGAAAAGAAAGAAGAGAAAAAATTAGGGAAAAATTATTCAAATTTTAAATATTCACAAAATCTTTTTTTCCATTATGTATAACAAATATAAAATTCAAAAAAAGAAAAAAATGACCGAAATTGATAAAAAATTAAATTTACACAAATAAATTTTTCTTTTTGCTTAAGCAAATTTTGCACAAAGTTTTATTTTCGTTTTTTCTTTTTGTTTTGTTTTCTTGTTTGTTTGTTTGTTTGTTTTTTTAAATTCACAATTAATGTAACTGTTATTCATTTATTATTTGCTATCATATAAGAGAAATAAAAACAAATTATTCAATGCTATCCTCGTTTCTCGTCTTCTTCTTTCTTTTTTCACTTTTCAAGAATATATCATTAATTAATTAATTAATTAATCGCTAATAATTCACAAAAATCAAAACAATAAATTATCATATTCACTAGTAAACAAATATAGCATAGAATTACAGGCAAAATAAGTGATTTCCAAAATGTTTATAATAAACAAAAAAAAAAAAAAGAAAAGGTTTACAATATTAACAAAAAAAAAAACAAAAAATAATAGTATTAATTGTAATGAAAAGGCATAACTCCATAAAACAACAAAAAATTTTCTATTTTCTTAAAAAAAATTCTAACAAATTTAAATAGTTGTTCAGTTAAAAAAACGAGAGAAGAAAAGAATCTAATTTTTTAAAAAATTATTCTATCATATTTGATTAAGAATTTTTCTATTTATAATACAAATAAATTATAGAACAAAAAAAAAAAGTGATATTAATTAATTAATTTCATTATTTTTTTTCCTCTCCAATTTAAAAGGAATTTAAAAAAAAAATTTATTATATGAGTTATGATCTTATCATAGAATTATCATTTCTCAAAAATAATTTGATTAGATTGAATTAATTACCCGATTATACAATAATTGAGCTAATACTTTTTTGCCACATACAGTATTTAACGTACATCACGCATAATAACGTCATGAAAAATCACGTAAAATGGTAAGCGTTAATAATATTATTAACAACAATAATAATAATAATTAATAATTAAAAGTAATAATAAATTTAATTAATGAGTGAAAATTTGAAAAGTTTTGAAGAAAAAAATTGTTCAATAAGTGACTTATAGCCATTGAAAATGAAATAAAAGAAGCAAGATAATAATAATAATAATAATAATAATAATAATAATAATAATAATAATAATAATATATTATAGAATTACTCTGATATTATTACTTAAATTGTTTCTTATATTATGTAAAACATCATTTTTATTTATTTCTTTGTAACTCATAAATGTGCTGAATTAATTAACATAATAAAATAAATTATTATAATTTAGCTTTTTTTTTTCTGAAAAAAAAATTCATGGATTAAAATATTCTTAAAACTCGAAGAAAAAAGAGAACAGTAATCTGTTTTCATTTTCATCCAATTATTTACAAAAGAAAGGTAAACATAAAATTTAATCCGAAAGAAACAAGAAACAAAATAATTATGAAAAGAAAACAATTAATTTGCTTAATTATAGACTGTTAATGTCGTTGTAATACAGAAATAATAAAATTGTAAAAAAAATGACAAAATAAAATAAAAAATAACATTAGATATTACTGACTTAAAAAAAACAAAAAAAAAAAAAGACACAAACACTTATCGTTGAATTAAAAATCACTGCGAGGTCAAAGTTCAATATTATGTTTTGACTTCGAAAGAAAAAAAAAAAACAATAAATTTGTCATTAAATTAAAAACCACCACGAAGTCAAAGTTCAACTTCTGTTTAGAATTAAAAAAAAAAAAAAAACAATAACATCTATCACTGGATTAAAAATCACTACGAGGTCAAAGTTCAACATTGTGTTTTTGATTTTAAAAGAAAAAAAGTAATAAGGTTATCATTAAATTAAAAATCATCACAAAGTCAAAGTTTAACTTCTATTTTGAATTAAAAACAAAAAAAAAAAACACTCAATGACATCTATCACTGAATTAAAAATCACTACGAGGTCAAAGTTTAACAACCTATTTTGATACAATAAATAATATCAGAGTAATTCAATGATATAAACATTTAATTGTGATTTCATTTTTTTCCTCTTTCCCTTTTCTCTTTTCTTTCCTTTTTTTTCTTTTAAACAAAAATACTTATAAAATTAATTTAATTTTTTACTTTTATTCGTTTCTTTCTTTTTCTTCTTTCATTCTTTTTTTTTCTTTTTGAATAGTAAATATGCATAAATTATTTTAAAACAAAACAAAACAAAAAGTGAAATACTGTTGATTTTCATAATATTCATTAACTAACTCGATTTGCAGCTAATTGTTGATTACTCATTGATGCTGCGATTGTTGACTCAGTCTCATATCGACACTCTGATTTTAAACGTACAAATTCTCGAGCTACCTCATCGGTTTGTCGTTGACTTAATATCCTAGAGAATTATACGAAAATTTAATCAATTGCTTCATTTTTCCTTGAAATTTTAATAAAATTCGTTTATCACAATAAAGAATAATAGTCATAATAATTAGTAATAATAAATGACAATCAAAATTTTACATAAATTCGAGAAATTATATAAGGAATAACTGAATTATTCATATAATATTATAATGAAATTAAAAAACAAAAAAATCATCAACTTACATATATATAATTTAAGATTTTATGTTATTATTATTATTATCATTATTATTTATTGTTATTATTATCAGTATTATTATTTATTATTATCTTTATTTATCTTTTTATTTTTTATTTATTATTATTGTTATTATTATTTATTTTCTCTTACTGGTCATTATTACTATTATTGTTATTATTATTGATATTACTATTATTTATCTATTATTATTGCTATTATTGTTATTATTTATCATTATTATTGTTATTAGTGATCGTTGAGTAATAAAAGATTTTTATTAAAGACTGAAAATTACCATACCTAAGTAAGATGAGGCCAGTTTCATCGATATGAAAACGTCGGCCAAGTTGTACCCAACAAGCGCAACTTCCTTGCTCAATCATATTGGCTAACTGTAATACTCCAACTCCAACAATTCGATCTTCACGTGCAAAACAGTAATCCTTCACTTGGAACATCAGTTCACAATGTTCTGGCTCACCTTCGTTACCAAGAAAACTGTAAGAGTAATCAGTACTGATAAGAAAAGATAAGATTGATATGGTATGAAATATTTATATCACACATATTGTGATTATATATTATCATATCAATGCATAAAATAGATTCATGCATATAAAATCAATGATATATATTTAGATAAGAAAGATTATGAGAAGACGACGTTTAACTTTAGTGATAAAATTCATATTTAGAAAACTGATATCATATCATATCATATCAATGAATCAATATATCATATTCATTTTCTCTTTTTTCTTTTTAGTTTAAAATTTCAAAACAATAATATTTCTCTGTTGTTTATCATTTTATTTTATTTATTTATTTTTGTTTTTAATTCACTTACAAATGAAATGTTTCATTGAATTTTGGTGCCCAATTGCCACTTTTTGATTTCGTTGCCATTTTGCGCTTTTTATCAGCCAAATGTGGCCCAACTAAATGCACTTCAACAAATGGCTTAAATGTACTTACTGTTTGCCATCGTAGATCATTTGCTGCCAATACTGTAAAAAAGAAATATTTTTTTCTTTTCTTAATTTTTTTTTTTTTTTCTCGAAATTCTTTTGAAATTCTCATCTGAAAATTCTTCCTCATTAGTTTAATTAGGAATGAGAACTCTTGAGATACTTTTAGATAGTATAATTAAGAGATTAATTAATTAATTAGGAATGAGAACTCTTGAGATACTTTTAGATAGTATAATTAAGAGATTTAAAAAGAATAAAATTTATGAAAAAAATAATCTTTAAAAATTAAATAAATGAAACATTCTTATACAATAAATAAGCTTTAATCTATGATTTTATCAAAATTAAATGAAGAAAAAATTCTTTGCACCTCTTAAAAAATAATAAATACTTAATTAAATGAAAATACATTTTTTTTTTTTTGATTGTTTTTTTGAAATTTTATTCAAATTTGTCATCATAAATTTTAAAGAAAATTCTTTCGTATTGAATTAATATTGAATTAGTTTATGTAAGTAAGATTAAACGCACAGGTAAGAAGCGTAGAAAAGACTTAAGTGCTCGGCAAATAACAAAATAAAATAATTAGTAAAGAAAAAAAAAGATAATGTTAGTGATGAAACAAACTTTTAACAGTAACTTTTTGTTCACCGGTTCCTGGATGCGTGAACAGATCCACCTGAATACTTACTTCACCAACCGGTTGTTCTTGTGAAGGAAGATCTTAAAAATGGACAATTGAAAAAATTTTCAAAACTTTGATTAAATGTTTTAAAAAGTTCAATTAACAAAAAAAAAATATACAAATTCAAGTTGACTTTCAACAAATTTGAGTTGAATTTTAAATTTCGAAAATTGAGATTAAAATTTGGATTATAAAAGATTTGGGAATTTGAATTAAAATTAATCAATTAACGAATCAAATTCTCAATTTAAAGATGATAAAAAGGCAACGAATAAATAAACAACGAAAAAGAAACGAAACGAAAGTTTTAACGTAATGACACGTGAAATACGTTTACAAAAGTAAGAATATATGCTACCTTCAATTTTTCAATTCTGTAAAATATTAAAATAAATCAAATATTTTCGCTAAAGTTCATTTTCAGAGTGATTTATTGATTTACTGGTTTATGTCTGCGTGAAATTTTCAAAGTATTTAATTTCATCGCACTGCTTTGGTTACCATCATTTATGTATAACAAAAAATTAATGAGTTAAAATTGTTGTTCAACTTAGATATTAATATTAAACTTTGATATCAACGGTAAACAAACAAAATGAAACAAAAACAAAAAAGTAAATGAACAAACATATGAAAAAGTAAACAGAAAAAATCAATAAACAAATGGAGAAAACGAAAAAATAAAAACAATTAAGCAAACAAATAAGCAAGCAAAAAAAGAAGCAAACAAACAAAAGACGTTACATAAACAAACAAATAAATGAGCATATAAACAACGAAATAAACATACAAGGAAAGAAATCGGCAGACAAACATGAACTGGGCAAATCGATAAACAGACAAATAAAACAAAGGAAAAAAGAAACAATAAACAAACAGAAAAATAAAAAAAATAAGGAAAGAAATAAAACTAATGAACAATTCGACAAGCAAACAAATAAATGTTCAAACGAAAAACAAATAAACAAACAAACGAAGAAATAAATAGACAAAACAGGCAAAGAAATAGATAGACAAAGCAGGCAAAGAAATAAAAAATAACCAAATAGAATTAATGAATAAACTGATAAACAGGCAGACATATAAATAAATGAGTTGAAAAACAAACAAACAAATGATCAAAGAAATAAACAATGAAAAAATAAAATTAATGAATAAACTGATAAATAAACAAACAAATAAAAATAATAAATAAATCCATAAACAAACCTTGTTGCTTTTGACTGGTAATAAACGTTTTAATGAGTTGTTCGGTAGTTTGAGTATACAACGATAAGGCATATTTCAATGATTGCAATTCAGGTGATTTCTCGAAGAACGATTTCTTCAATCCTTGACCACCGGCATGAAAACATTCTTTTACAGCATCTAATGCTGCATCCAATACTGTACACTGCTTTGGAGTTAATGAACGCTCATATTCTCGAGCAATATCCTAAATTACTTTAATTTTAATTAATTAAATATCCAAAAAAAACGAGGAATCATTATTTATTATTAATCCAAATATTTTCAAAAAAAAAAAAAGAAATTACTTAAAAAAGTAAAGGCAAAAAAAGAATTTTAATAATCCATCTTAAATAATTATTGGTACAAGTATACATTTAAATTATATTTGCTAACAAAAAAAAAACTTTTTTTTGTTAAAATAACAAATTAAGTTAAAGAAGAAAAAAAAATACTAAAAATAAAATAACATAAACTATTATAAGTAATTATATTATAAGTATAAATAACTATATTTGTATTATAAGTAATTATATTATAAGTATAAACTATTACAAGTAATTATATTTGTATAATAAGTATTAAAAATTATGAGTAATTACGTTAGAATTACAAGTAATTATATTTGAAAAAAAAAATACAATAAAATAAAAGTTTCATTAAAATGATAAGATAATGTATTAATTAGTAAAATGATTGATTTACCATCATTTCCTTCACTGAACTTATATTTTTCACTTCTTTTAAATGAGTTGACATTAGCTTTGTCATATCACAGAATACTTCTGCATTTGGTATTTGTTTCAAAATCTAAAAATAAACAAATAGTTATATAATAATCGAAATTTCAATAATAATCATTTCAGACTAAATAAAATTACAATTATAAGTAAAAAATAAATTTTCAACTTCATAAATTTTAAAAATAAAGAACAAAAAAAAAAAAAAAAAAAAAAAAACTTTTTTATTGAATTAAAACTTTGAATAGCATAAATATTTGAAAACATTTTTGTTCCTTTCAGTAATTGAGTTTTATTTCTTTTTTTATTATTTTTATTTTTTTTTTAACTTTCTTTTAATACATCAAAAATTTTTAATACTTTTAATAACTAACTTTTATTTTCACAAAATTTTCAACAATTACTGTAGCTGAGAATTTCAATAAATTATTATGACTAATTATAATGCAAAAATTAAAATTATTGAATATAAAATTTTAAAAAAGAAAAAATCAATAAATTATACTGCTTTATTATCAAGCGGTGGTAAAACAACCAATTTTTCCATGCTTGTTATCGTTGCTCGCCATAATTCCTATAAAAAATAAATTAAAATCAAATTTTCTCATCATTAATTTTTTTTTTAAATATTTCAAATGAATGACTGGATACTGATCAAATTTAGAATTAATTATTTTTAATTCTATTTTTTTTAGTAATTTTTTTTTTTTTTTTAAATAATTTTAATAATCAAATCATAAGATGTAAACTCTTAAATGTTTATTTTTAAGTATTTTTTAAAAAATTTCCATAAAAAAAAAAAAAAAAGAAATCATTATTCTTTCCTATTTTATTCGTTTATTATTATCAGTTATCTTTTTCTTTTTCTTTTTAATTTCGTAGAATTGATAAAAATTAAAGTTTAAATTTTAGGAAACGATGAAAAAAAAAATTCAATTCCTGCTAACAACTGTATGTAATTCGTTTTCAAATTCAAATGTCTTCAATTTTTAACTTTCTTTTAAAATTTTAATTTAAATTGTAAATTAATTTCATTAATTACAATTTCATTCTTAATTAATTGAATAAATTTGAAAATTATACTTTCAGCAAATACTTTAATACTGTCTTTTCGCATTGTGATGCATAATCTTGCAATTTATCCTCCAATAATTCCATCAGTGGTTCAAGTACCGAATCTACCTCCTAAAATTTTATTTCAATTTTTATTTCCATTTCATTAATAATTCCATTGTTGAAACTGATCAAAAGTAATTTTTCAAAAAAATAAATAAATAAGATTAAAATTTTTAAATTATGAATGAAAAAATTTATATCTCTTTTGCAAATTTATTTAAATAGATAATAATTTTTTGCAAATTTTAAATAAATAATATCGATACAATTAATGTAAACAATATATTTCATCAATTTCTATCATAAATATGATGACAAAGGAATATGAATGAATTTGCTTAAGCTATTAGTTTCAATTTAATTTATTTTAATAAAAATTAATGCGACAAATATTTTAACATAGAATATTAAATTGCTAGAAGAATATGTTGCAAAAAAAAATTGTTAAAACAATATAATTAATTTAAAAAAAAAAGCCAAAAAAACCAAAAAAAACAGAAAAAACGGAAAGAAAAATCGATTATAATTTGTTTATTTCAATTAAATTGATGTTAATTATTATTATTATTTTAATATAAAATATTAAATTAACAATGAAAAAATGGCTTACTGCAACTAATTGACTTTTCGGCAGTTGTGGCCCTTTAATTTTACTCAAAATAACGCCCAATTTATTCATTTGTACATGAATATTTGGCACTAAACTTTCCACAAATTGTCCTGATAATTTATTTAAAACAGCATTAAGCTTCTTCTGAAGATTATTTAATACGGTATTTGCAGTTGGATCAAGATTTGGACCACCCATATTCTCGTAGATTTTCTCCAATTGTACCCTAAAATAGATCAAAAATTTAAAATTAAACATTTATACAACATTCCATTGAATATTATCACTAGAATTGTAAAATTATTACTGGTTAAATTATCAGTGTAAGAATAGATATTGCATTGATAAGATTATCAGTATAATTTGAATATGTTGATCAAGTTAATAATGTACTGTTTGATAGTACATTGATCATGCTGCTAGTATAACTGTATAATAAATATTGCACTGATCAAATTATCATTATCAGAGTAATTGGAAACATTACACTGATCAGATTATCAGTATAAATGATTATTGGTATAATTGTAGAAAATATATTATCAGGTTATCAGTATAACTGCAGGGATAACACTGATTAGGTTATCAGTATGACTGCAGGGATTACACTGATCAGGTTATCAGTATAACTGCAGGGATTACACTGATCAGGTTATCAGTATGACTGCAGGGATTACATTGATCAGGATTACATTGATCAGATTATCAGTATGACTGCAGGGATTACACTGATCAGGTTATCAGTATGACTGCAGGGATTACATTGATCAGATTATCAGTATGACTGCAGGGATAACACTGATCAGGTTATCAGTATGACTGCAGGGATTACACTGATCAGGTTATCAGTATAACTGCAGGGATTACACTGATCAGGTTATCAGTATGACTGCAGGGATTACATTGATCAGGTTATCAGTATAATTACGAAGATTATACTAACTCATTAATGTAATCAGACTTTAGGAACTATATTGAACAGATTATCAGTACAACTTTAGCGATTAAATCGATCAGATTATCAGCATAACTTCAGATTTTGCAGTGATAAAATTATTACTTGATGATAACACATTAATCAAATCAATTACTATAACTGCATTACAATATAAATACTTGCATGTTTGCATGCAAATGCTATTGCATAATTTGCAAACACGAAAGTGTAAGTATGAAAAATATAAACTGATAATCACTTTTCTTTTTCCTTTTTTTTTTTTTCAAATCATTATTCTGCAAAACTGAAAATTTTCATTTGTATTTGAATGTTTGCAATTTTATTTAGTATTATTTAGTACAAATTTAGTTATTCAGTATAAATTTATATAATTCAGTAACAAATTCAGTTATGCGACAAAAATTTTGTATTTTTTGGAAAAAAAAAATGAAAGAAATATATCAAAAAAAAAAAAAGAAAAAAATATATTGAAAAACTTTTTTCTTTTCTTTTTTTTTCCAATTCCAAATATCGTATGCTATGAGAAAAAAAATTCTTTTTTCAAAAATTTAAAACTTCATTCATATTTTAGTGCATTAAAATGATTTGTCAGGAAAAAATAGTAAAAATTCGAGAAAGAAAAACCTTTTTACCTCTTTTTTAAGTTTATAAATTAATTTCTTTTTTTTGATAATTAAATTATCAATTATTTATGAATTAAAATGTTTACTATTTTTTATAATCTCTTTGTTTATTCATAAATTTAAACCTTTATTTAGTTAAAAATTTTCCACATATTTAACAATTTCAACTTTCATTTTTAATTTTTTTTTTTTGAAATTATATTTGAAAAAAGAAAAAAAAAAGAATTTTAAAAAAGAAACAGAAAAATTAAAACAAACCGAAGTTGTTGAACATTATTCATCAGTATGCATGCAAGTTTTTCATCACTAACAAATTTGTTAAAATCCTTTTGCACCATATCAGCATATGCTAGCAAAACTTTATTTAGTGTTTTCGAAAATCGTTTCATCATATCCGCATACACTTCCGGATTTGGACAATCCATCTACAATATTCCGGATTAAGTAAATGGAAATTATGAATGTTGAAGATGCTGAATATACGTATATATGTAGCAAACTGGAAGACAAAAAAGAAAAATACAAAAACAAATTGATTTCCGGATCCGACTAATAATTCATTCACACACTTTAGAAATTATGAATAAAATGGAAATTGTGAATGTCAGGTATGGTAAGGAGTTAAAAAAAAAAAAAAAAAACAAGAAGAGACAGACAGGTTTCCGGATTCGGTTAATAATTTATCTCTATAATATTTAGGATTGGTAAAACGGAAATTATGAGTGCTAGAAATGTTGAATGTAACAAGTTGAAAAACAAAAATAAATACAAAAACAAGTTAATTTCCGGATCCGGCTAGTAATTCATCTACACATTTAGGAAATCATGAACGAAATGGAAATTATGGATGTCAGAGATGATAGCAAGTTGGAAAAAAACAGATTGGTTTCCGGATTTAGTTAATAATTCATTTCTGTAATATTTAGGATTGGTAAAACGGAAATCATGAGTGTTAGAGATATTGAATATAGCAAATTAGAAAAATAAAAAAAAAATACAAAAACAGGTTGATTTCCGGATTCAGATAATTCAACTATTGCTTGATCTGTTGAAAATTTAATTAATTATTTTATGAAATTTCGTGAATTTTTGTTTTTTTTTTTTTCATCTTTTTTTAAAAAAAATAAAAAATTAAGCAATGAAATATGTGAATGAAAAATGTAAATATTTCTCATAATATAAAATGCATTTCCTTTTCTTTTATTTTTTAAAAATTTATTAAATAACTTCTAATTTTTGTTTTGTTTTTTTTTTTTTTTTTTTTTGAAAAATTTCAATTTCCTTAGGTTTTGCATAATTTAATAAATTTTAAAAATAATAAGCTTTTCAAGAAAATAACTTTAATTTCCTTATTTTTTCAGTTATAAAGAAGTGAATCAATTTTGAATTCGATTTTATTCAAAAATAAAAATAAATTATTTCTTTTTTTTTTTTGCAAAAATAAAAAAATTTCTCACATTATTTTGATTTATTTATTTGTTTACTTTTTTTTTTATATATTATTTGCTTTTATTTTTTTTGTCGCATAATTCGTCCAATTATTTTCATATGCGCAAATTGCATTCATTTTAACACATTTATTATTTGTATAATTCAATTTATCAATGCAAAATTCTTTTCTTTTTTTTTTTTTGAAAAAAAAAAAATGAAATGGAAAAAGGAAAAAATTTCTTAAATTTTCTTCAAATTTCTACACTAATTTAAAATTAAATTTGACTAATTTTTTTTCTCATTTAAAAGCTTTAAAATATCCAAAAAGTTTCATAAAGCAAACAATTTCTTAATTTTTAATAATTTTATTACAAAAGAAAAGAAAAAGAGTGAGAAAGGAATAAATTTTTATTGAAACATTTCAAAAATTTCATAAAACAATTTCTGAATAAATTTTATTTTTTTTGAAATTTTCTTCAAACTTCTGCAACCAATTTATTCAATTTTTCATTTTTCATTTTTTTTTTTTATTTAAAAACTTTAAAAAGTCTCATAAAGCAAAAAATTTTTTAATTTTAATTATTTTATTATAAACAAAAAAAAAAGGAAGGAAGGAAAGAATAATAAATTTTTAAAAATTTTCTTCAAAACTACTACATTAATTTATTTATTTTTCTTTTCATTTCAAAACTTTTTCACGAAAACAAACAAATTTCATAATTTGAATTAATTAATTAATTACAAAAAAAAAAAAAAGAAAAGAAAGAATATTAATTTGAAAATAATCCTACCTGTTTCAATAATTTTAATGCTTCATTAAGCTGTGTGAATACATCAATAACAGAATTTGAAAATTTCGTATGCTCCGATGTTTGTGGAAAGTTATCACTTTTATCACGATTGTATGCATTTCGTAGAATATCCATCGAATGCTCATCATTTTCATTTAACCAATCCATTACAAATGGTATAAACCAACTGCACAAAAATTAAAAAATAAAAAAAAATAAAAATAAAAACAAAAAAAAAAAAATTTGAAAAAATGAGATTGAATTGATTTTTTTTTTTTTTGTAAATAATATTCAAATATTCGAATAATATTGGTAATAATAAAATAAAAATAAATTTAATATTAAAATATTAATAAAATATGAATGAAACTAATTTAATATTTACAAATATTGGAAAATTTTCATATATTTATAACAGTTTTTATTTTAGTAAATAATCAATTTTAATTAATGTAATTAATGTTATCAAATGGCAAAAAAAAACAATAATAACAAAATAAAAACAAAAAAGTGTAATAAATTTAAATCTAATCAAATTTTTCATTTTCAAACTCTAATATATTAGTAATTAGAAAAAAATAAATTTTGTCATCCTTTTTAAAAAAAAATATTGAAAAGTTAAATATGAAATTAAAAAAGACAAATAAACAACTTTTTAGCATAGTTATTTGTTTGTTTTGTTTCTTCTTAAAATATATTTACTTCCTTTCTCTCTTTTTTTTCTTTTTATAATTGTTTTATAAACAAAAAATATTCCTGCAATAATTATTAATTTCCAATATATTATTTTATATAAAATATTTGTCACTTTTTACGCAAAAAATAAATTAAAATAGCAATTATTTGTAATACAGTATTTTATACTGTTTTAATTACAATCTTAAAAATTTAATTATTATTTAAAAGAATTAATTTCTTAAAAGATAAAAGAAATATTAATTACAATCTTAAAAATTTAATTATTATTTAAAAAGAATTAATTTCTTAAAAGATAAAAGAAAAATAGAAAATGAAATGTAAGAAAATCTTACGCAGGAAATTCCGGAATTGAATCTTTATACTGTGGTAAGTCAGCTACATACTTAAAGTAAAAGCCTTTAACTTTGAAATATAAATTCATATATTCCGGTGTAGAGCATTTCTTTGTTTGTGCATGTTCTGAAATAGGAAGGAAAAAAAATAAAAGAAAAACAATTTCGTATTAAATTAATTTATTTCAATTCCGTAAAATTTTACGGAAAAATTAAATTCAATTTTAATCTTAATTTGATTCATTCTGGTTTCGTAATTTTTCACGTAAGAGTTAAACTACTTAGTTAGACGCAAACGTTTCATACACTAATTTGATTCAACTCACTTTCGTAATTTTTCACGTAAGAGTTAAACTACTTAGTTAGACGCAAACGTTTCATACACTAATTTGATTCAACTCACTTTCGTAATTTTTCACGTAAGAGTTAAACTACTTAGTTAGACGCAAACGTTTCATACACTAATTTGATTCAACTCACTTCCGTAATTTTTCACGTAACAAAACAATTCTAAGCATTTTATACTAATTTGATTCATTCCATTTCCGCAATGTTTCACGTAACAAAACAATTCTAAGCATTTTATACTAATTTGATTCATTCCATTTCCGCAATGTTTCACGTAAAAGTTCAACAATTCTAGGTATTTTATATTAATTCGATTTATTTCACTTCCGTAACTTCTCACGTACGAGTATTATTAAGATTATTATCGTTGTTATAACTATTATTATTTATTATGAATTGCAAAATAGAATAAATTATGAGAAGAAAAAAAATTAATTTTTTCCTCTTAAATTAAATTTCACATTCCAATTTCTTATTTCCCTTTGTTTTTTTTTTTCTTTCTTTGCAATTAAATTTAATTGAAATGAAATTAATATTAATAACAATTTTGCTAACCTTCTAATGCCATTTGTAAATCAGTTTTATACAATTGCCATAGTGTTGCAGCGGATAAATTACCCACACTTAATTCCTGCGGGAATTGATTTAGTACAGGTGTATAGATATTTTTATCATCTTCAATTACCCGCATCATATAATCAAGAAAATCAAACCAAAAATTAACACTATCAGCTGATGGGCCACCATCTTCACAACAACTTTCAAACATTAATTGATATGTTGCCTGAAAAATAAATTTCAAAAATTAAATTTAAACTAAATATTTATTAATTTAAAGAAAAAAAATCAATATATTCTTATTTTCAAGAATTTCTTTCTTTTTTTCTTTTTTTACTTCATAATGTATGCAAAATATAGTCTATTATATTTTAATTTTCGAAAAAAAAAAAAAAAAACAAATCGAAATATAAATTTTGCATATTGTTTTCTTCTTTCTCATTTTTTTTTTTTTGTTTGTTTATTTTTTTTCTCAATTAAATTATTAATTTTCAAAATTATATTATAAGAATAAAAAATATTTGCTTCAAAATTTTTTTCAAAAAATTAAATTAAATGAAATTATCTTACCTGCATGCAAGCTTTAGCGCATTCACTTACAACATTAGATGCACGTGGTGGACTTGCTAATTCTAATACTTTCATACGAAAAAATGTTATCGATGTTAGCAAATCGACCGTTGATTTTAAATCAGTTAATTTGGCAGGCGATGATGATGGAAAATATTTCTGCAATCATTTTTTAATTATTAATTAATAATTTAAAAAAGAAAAGATTCATTAGTAATATTAATAAAGTAAAGTAATTGTATATTAACTGTGTATGCTTAAAATAAATAACAGATAATAAAAATGTAAAAAAAAATTAATAGATAATGAAGTTAAAATAAATTAAGTAATCGATTAATGGATAGTGAAGTAAAAATAAGTTAAGTAATCGATTAATGGATAGTGAAGTAAAAATAAATTAAGTAATCGATTAATGGATAGTGAAGTAAAAATAAGTTAAGTAATCGATTAATGGATAGTGAAGTAAAAGTAAAAGTAAAAGTAAACTAAATAATAGAAAGTAATAATAAAGTAAATAATAATAAAAAAATAAATGAAAGATAATGAAATAATTAAATAATCTATTAGGTATATTATTCGTTACTGTTATCATCATTATTATTATCATTATTATTATTATTCATTACTTAATTATTACTTAATTATTATTTAATTATTATATTACTTAATTATTATATTATTCATTACCTAATTCATAACTGAGATATATATCAAAAATGAAACAAATCATATCGGTGCGTAATTAATTCAAAAGTATGATATATGATTATACTTAAATATAAAATAAAATATTTGATAAAAATAAAAACGAAATGTGAAAAGTAAGTTATAAATTGAAAGGTAAATGTATTATTAGTTGATAAATTTGTTTAATTAATTCTAATATAGGCTTTAAATTATATTTTAAACTGATTATATTAAGTATCGTATTAATAAGCTATTTGAATATTTCAAATTGATTAAACCCCAAGTATTAATCGGTGCTAATAAATTATTCGAAAATTTTAAAATCATTAAATCAAAAATAAATTTTTTGAGCAAAAATCAATAGGAAATTAAATCATTTACTAATTTCAATAATTTTCAAACATATTCAAAAATCTAACAGAAAAGAACATATGAAATGAAAAAAAAAAAAGGCGTCAAAAAATATTTGAATTGAAATTCTTTTATAAAATAACAAGTTTTTATATATGCGAAAAAAAAAAAAAAAAGAAATAACAGTTTAAAACAAATATATGTTTTTATAAAATTATTCAAATTAATAAAATATTATTTATGTTAATTGATCAAATAAAAATAAATCAATAAATGAGATGGAATTAAATTCAAATAAAATGAAAAATGGTTTAAATTAATAAGATGGGATATTAATTCAATATATAATACTAAAAAAGATTAATGTATTTTGAATGAGAAAAAAAAATAATTATTTTATGCAAATGTATCGCTTTTCTTTTTGAATTCCTATCTTAGTTTTATTTATGTTTTTTTTATTTTTCTTAAAAAATTCATTTTCATTCAATTTTTTCAAGTTGTAAACAATACAATTGTTTAGCACTTCTATTAAAATTTTAAATAAATTTTTAAATATGGTCAAATTTTTGCACATCTAATTTTGATTTAGAAAAAATAATTGTAATATATAACATTTATAAAATTTAATTTTTTTTTTTTTTTTTTTTTTTTTTTGAACTTTCAATTAATTAGCTATGTCTAGAAAATGAGGAAAAATGCTTCATAAAATGGTTGTTTCGATTTTTCTTTCCAAATATAAATTTGAATTTAAATTTATTGATTTCAAAAAGAAAAAAAGACAATTTGAATTTTCAAAAAAAAAAAAACTTTCAAATATAATTTATTTCTGTGAAATTTCAAATGTTATTTTTTTCATTTAATTACAAATTATAATCTAAATGAATAATCAATTATCTAAATCGTTAAATTATAATGAAAAGATTTGAAATTATTTATATTAAAATAAAGAAATATTATACATTTTGAACAGTTATAGCAAAGGTTAAAAATCCCATATAAAAGTTTAAATAAATTTAAATAAAAAAAAGAAAAAAAAATTAAATGATTAAATGTACTATTATTCAATTATTATTTTAATGCTTTTGAATAAACGATTGCATAAAATGAGAAAAATATTGAATAAGAAAGTATGAAAATAATTTTGAGCAGCGGAAAAATGCATTCAATTAAAAACAAAAATATATTTCAAAATAAAAAAATAAAAAAAAAAAAAAAGAAAAATGAAAAGCTTTTTAAGACTTCGAAAGGAAATGGCAATTTTATTCGTTTTATATTTTCCTTTTGTTTTATCTTTTCGTTTTCTTTATTTTTCTCTCACCAAATATTTATAAATAAAATTGAAAAATTTTTCTTTTAAATTATTAAATGATAAAAATTTATTATTTAGGAATAAAAATAGGAATGTATTTGCTTTAAAAAAAAAAAAAAAGAAAAAAGAATAATGAGATTATTTATACTGTATTATTTATATTTATAATGCTTTTAAGAAAAATAAAAATAAAAGAAAATATTGCTTAATTAAAATTTAGTACTCCCGAGATATCTCAATACACAATGGTTGTTTATTAACATTTTTAATATAATTTTGAATTGATTAAATTTTTGTACTTTTAATTTTGGTACAAACTTTGTTAGAAAAGCTAGCAATTAAAAGTGGTAAAAAGTAATTGCAAAATTATCTAAAAAAATATTTTCTGCTCAGATAAAGTAAATTATTATCATTTAATCACTTAACATATCTTACTTAAATTAATGATACACAATATCATTTATCAATATTAAATGATTAATAAAATCTTCTAAAAATAACTCGCAAAATCTTTACTTTATTATATTTGTGTAAAATAAAATCAAACAAAGTTAAAGTTTCATATTTAAAAGTAATGATTAGCTAAGACATAGCCATTACAATGATAACTCTAATCACTTATATTAACATTTATCAATAAAAGATGATTAATAAAGTCTTCTAAAAATAAAATGCATGATTTTTAATTTAAGAAGCTTAAAAACTTTTAGTATATTTATGGCTAAAAAAAAATGATATTAAATTTATTGAAAAATGATTGCCATTTCTTTCTTCAATGACTTTCTTATTGAAATTTATAGTTGAAAATTTATTACAATAATAAGTTTACATACATATTTCATTTATTTACTCTTGAAACTTTAACAATAAATATTAAATTTAATACATTTTAAATTTTTATTAAATTTAATAGAGATTTAATTCCCGAAATATCCTGATAAATTTTAAATTTTTAAAATGTTAAAAATAATAAATAATATGATAATAGTACAAAATTTCCTATCATAATATTCCAATGATAACTTAGTAAATTATATTTGTGATTTATTAAATTTTTCAATTTAAATGAATTTAGAAAATTTAAAAAAAAAAATAAAAATTTCTAAATGAGAAAATAGACAATTTTTTAAAAAAAGTGGTAGCAGCAACAAAAAATTTGAGAATATTCTCAAATAATTGAAAGATTATGAAAAGGAAATCAATATTTGTTGACAACTAATTAATTAAAATCATCTATTTTGGGTTAAATATTGCTAACAATTATAAAAATTTGAATATATTTTATACAAACCAATCAAATTTTCTCTTTTTCCATCTTTTCTCTCTCTCTCTCTCTCTCTTCTTCCTTTTCATTCGCTTTCCGTTTTTACTTTTAAAATTTGTATATTTCTTTGGTAAATTTTCGAAACTTTTTTTGCATTACTATTACAAAAAATTTTTTTTGAGGTATTTGAATGAAGTTTTAGGATTAAAATTATAAATTTGTAAATTTAATTTAGAAATAAATAAATTTTAAAAATGAATAATAAATTGCTTGCAAAAATCTTAACAAATTGCAATTTATTATAATTATTATTCATTTATTTCATTTTTCTAAGTAATAATTTTTATAATTTGAAAAAAAGAATTACCAATTTTTTTTAGTTGAATAAATATTGCCCATAATTATAAAAATTTCGCTATTATCGAGAAAAGAAAATGAAACGAACTGTTTTTTTTTTTTTTGAATCGAATTTATGAATGAAATATAAAATAATTGAAGGTAAATTATAAAAAACAAATAAACAAAACTTAAATTTACTCATTTTATGAATTTGAAAAAGGAAAAAGATAATTTACCTGGCAAATAAATAAAAAAATAAAAGGCAGTTTATTTAATATATGAAAAGAAAAAATTAATCTATATGGATTAAAAATGCAATCTAATCGAAGTAATAAATGAATTTAAAAAGAAAAAAAAAATTTCAATCTATTTGATATATTAACCAAAAATGAAGGCAATTTACCAAATAGACAGACTGAAAAAAAAAAAAAAAAAAAAAAGGGAAAAAGAGATATTTACCCAATAAATGGATAAAAAGAATGAAATTTGCCCAACAAATGAATAAAACAACAATCAAATATAGGAATAAAAAAAAAAAAAAAAAAAACGCAATTTATTCAATAAATAAATGAAAAAGGAAAGGTAACCTACCCTATATATAGGTAAAAAACAGATGGAATTTGCCCAATAACTGAATGAAAAAAAAAAAAAACCGAAATAAATCAATCCAATATATAAAGAAGATAAAGAAAAGTAAATCTATCCAATATATAAACAAAAGAAAGAAAAATAAATCTACCCAAAATAAAATAAAACAAAGAAAGGTAAATTTACCCATCATATGAATTAGGCAAGCAAATTTACCCGATACATTGATAAATCAATTCGTAATGAATTATGCAACTGATCCAATAGTTTAACAAATCGATCGCGGCCAAAATTAGAAGCATTGAAGCGATCAGATGCGGAAACAGCTGACGTAGCGGTCGTATGAGCGTAATATGCGTTAATATTAGCTAGAAGTGTTGAGAGTACGGCCGGAACACCGGAACACATATAACGTGTGCAGAGACACGCAAAATGTGTCATTGCCTGAATGAAATATTTATTGCTGATAAATAAGAAAAAGAAAGAAGAATTAGTCTTAAAGTTAAATAATTTAATTAAAATTGACATTGAAAAGAAAATTAATTTTATTTTGAGTAAAAATAAATGAAACAAAATTTGCAAAAGAAAATTTTATTCTCTTTTCCGTTTTTTTATTATACCATAACATTTAATATAAATAAATACCATAACATTTAATATAAATAATAAAAAGATACCATAACATTTAATATAAATAATAAATAATAATTATGATAAAAGTATCACACTGATTTGTTAGTTACTTATAATAAGAATTGAACTTTTATCACGTTATTTTGTTAAATTAACACGTCAAAATCACGCTTTCGTTCTATGAATACGTCAAATTATTCATTGTTTTTGTGGTAATTTTTGATTGTATTATGTGGAAAAATTAAAACATATAGTCAGTTTTTTTTTTTAATTTGCACAAATTTATTACAAACGTATCAGATTTAAATTATTATACAAAACTAAAAAAGAATCTCGATTTTATTTGCATTATTTTTTTTTTTTTTTTCATTATTATTAGAAAAACAAAAAATTCATTACATTTAATAACTAATAAAAAATTATTATTAAAAAAATTATTTTATTAAAAAAAAAAAATTGCAGCTATATTAACCTGATATATACTTTCGATACCATAACGCATAGCAAATTCATCACAAATTTCCTGACCGGTATCATCAAAATATACCTTCCATGAATCATCTTTTATTTCCGGTAATCGTACTTCATCCTGTTCCGTGCAATGATGCTATAAATGAATGAATGGAAAATTTATTTGCAGATAAACATTAATCGTATGATAAATAAGAAAAAAACAAACAAATAAATAAATAAAATAGATAGCTAAGAAACAAAAAAAAAAAACAAAAGAATAAATAAGCATGCAATAATAATGGTAATGAAAATGAATAAAGTAAACAAATAATAATGGTAAACATAAAGGATTAGTAGACAAGGAAACATTAACACATACAATAACACTGCTAGGATTAGTAGACAAGGAAACATTAACACATACAATAACACTGCTAGGATTAGTAGACAAGGAAACATTAACACATACAATAACACTGCTAGGATTAGTAGACAAGGAAACATTAACACATACAATAACACTGCTAGGATTAGTAGACAAGGAAACATTAACACATACAATAACACTGCTAGGATTAGTAGACAAGGAAACATTAACACATACAATAACACTGCTAGGATTAGTAGACAAGGAAACATTAACACATACAATAACACTGCTAGGATTAGTAGACAAGGAAACATTAACACATACAATAACACTGCTAGGATTAGTAGACAAGGAAACATTAACACATACAATAACACTGCTAGAATTAGTAGACAAGGAAACATTAACACATACAATAACACTGCTAGGATTAGTAGACAAGGAAACATTAACACATACAATAACACTGCTAGGATTAGTAGACAAGGAAACATTAACACATACAATAACACTGCTAGAATTAGTAGACAAGGAAACATTAACACATACAATAACACTGCTAGGATTAGTAGACAAGGAAACATTAACACATACAATAACACTGCTAGAATTAGTAGACAAGGAAACATTAACACATACAATAACACTGCTAGGATTAGTAGACAAGGAAACAATAAAACATACAATAACACTGCTAGGATTAGTAGACAAGGAAACAATAAAACATACAATAACACTGCTAGGATTAATAGACAAGGAAACATTAATACTTACTTGAAATAAATGTTCATGCAAGCATGTGTATTGGATGTGATACGGTGCTAACTTTTCTTCACCTTTAATTTCAACATTAATATGTAATCGGATAGCACCACTAACTGCTGATTTATCCGTTCTTTTCTCTATAAATAATAAATAATAACAAAAGATTTTTAATTTAGAAAAAAAAAAATTTAATTCTAATCTTTAAAAATCTAACATTTGACTTTTAACATTAGCGAAGAAAAAAAAAAAAAAAAAAAAAAAAAAAAAAACAAATCCGTTTGATTTGAAAGTAATAAAAATATAAAAATGCTACTTCAATAAAAAAAAAATTAAGATAAAATGCATTTGTTCAAACGAAAACACATGTAATTACAACTAATATTGATTATATCACAAAAAAAGAAAAAAAATTTAAATTATTAAAATTTATAAAAGTTAAAATGATTTCAAGATTAGTAAACAAAGATAATTTTAATTAATTCAAAATTTCTCATTAAATTTAACATGCGAAAACGCAAAAAACACTTAATTTGATTGCTTCAAGTTTTGTATACAATTGAAAATTTTTTAAACTAATGCTAAATATTAATTAATCAAAAACAAATGGCAAAAAAAGTATATAAAGAAAAAAGTAAACAGAAAATAGAAAAAAAAAATGTAAAAGTTGAAATCGTTTAATGATCAATTAGTTATTAATTAAATTTTAGTTTATTTACCAACTAATATAATGCAATATGAATGATCAAACTTTATTACATTAATTAAATAGTTAATTAACTCGTTCATTTATAAAATATCATTTTCATTTAATTTTGCTACCATTTTTTTTTTTTTTTTTTTTCATTTTAAATTTGCTTCAAATGTTTAGAAAAAAGAGTTAAAAAAAAGGAGAACAAACCTAAATTATACCAAACATCCATTTCACCACTTAATGTTCGTACTTCAATAATTGCTTGACCTAAGAAATCATCCGATTCACGGGTCAATTTTTGCCTCAATTTACTTTTCAAATCATTATCTTCATCCCAGACACGAATTTTAATTCGATCAGTTGAATTATGGCATTCGCTGTAAACATTTACTAATATTACTGGTAAATTTGTTAATTGAAATTTTTAATGGCATAAATTTATGTCTCATAAATTCGATTTTTTTATTTCTTTGAAAATTATCAAAATTAAATTTATTTCTACACTTTTACTATTATTGTTATTATTATTTATTAGTATTTGTTAATTATTATTATTACTATTTACTAATACTATTATTATTTATTATTACTGTAATTGTTAATTTTTTTTTTTCAAATTTTTTCAAAAAAATTTTTTTAAATACATTACCATTATTATTGTGATTTTAAAATTATTAATTATTATATTATTTTACATCTCATAGATGCATAAATGTATTTGAAAAAATAAATTAATAAGAAAGAAATTTTCATCGGAAACAATTCTATTATTTCATAGCAAATTTATTAAATTAGAATAATTGCTGAAAGAATCATTCAATACAATTTTGTTTTTTTTTTTCTTTGCTGCAACTTTTAAAAAAAAAGAAAAAAGAATGAAAATAATAATTCGCTACTCTATCATATAGTTTTAATTAAAATCTATTTTTTCTTTCTTGTTTTTAATAATTTACAATGTTTAATTATTCATTAATTAAATCGTAATTTGTTAGAAAGACAGAAAAAAAAATGTATTTTAATAATATTATTCAATTTATTTGCTATCATTTAAATATTTTAATGAAATGTATAAATTAAATTCCACAGTTAATTAATATTTATCAATCAATTTTCTTTTCTAAAATTGTTGCTAAAATTTTCTAAAATTTTTCTTTTCATTTTTATTTTGAAAAAAAAAAAAGTTGTAAACATACAAGAAAAATTTTTCATTCCATATTGGATTCAATTCCTGATGTATTGTACGTGTACGTTTCTTCATTTTACCTACCTGAGCGGTAACATATGGATCACTTTTACCCGTTTTGTCTTTGGCTATTAAACCTTGAGCACATATCACTGAAATTAGATATTAATTTTTCTTTCCTTTTTCTTTTTTAAAAAAATTCTTGCAGAAAAAAAAAAAATACACAGATAATCGGAAATTAAATAGATTTAAAAATATTTAATCAGAAATTAAATAGATTTAAAAGTATTTAATCGAAAATTAAATAAATTTTAAAGATTTATAAAATTAAATAAATTTAAAAATATTTAATCATAAATTAAATAGATAGATTTAAAAGTATTTAATTGGAAAATAAATAGATTTAAAAAAAAAAAAAGCACAACTTTCATCTCTAACTTGATAAATTTCATTTCAAATTTCAATTACATCGATTTTCTTCAACAATTAATGGAATAAAATTGAACACTTCTCTTTTTTTTTTTTTCTTTTTGAATTACATTTTTATCAAATCAAAGTTATATAGCAAACTAATTAATTAAAACTATCAATTAACGATATGCAATAAATTAGTAGAAATATGTTTTTTTTTTGAAAAAAAAAAATTAAAAAATATATAAATTAAAATTATATTTTCGTTTTATAAATCACATCATTCATTTCAATTCTTAATTTTTTCAAGTTTTTTCTCTTTTATCATTTGCAGAAATTTTTATTCCTCTTCCTTAAAGTGATTTAAATCAATTTTTAATAACATATAGTTACTGATAAATCAAATAAAAAAAGAAATAGCATTTAAAATAGACAACAGATTAAATTTTATATTTTAATTTAAGAAATTATTACCAGTAAGAGCAATTTTTGCACTCCATTTTGAGCTACCTTCTAGAATACTTGTTTTCACCTGTTTCAGTGATTCTTCCTGTGTTTCCAAATCAACATTAAATATGACCCTAAATATGATATTGAAATATTAGAAATCATTTTAAGACCAGTTAATTAATTAATTAATATTTAATTATTATTACCAATTAATCATTCAATCATTATTTACTTGGAAATTTTTCAAAAATATAAGAAATCATTTTAGAACTAATTAATCATTTAATTATAAAGTTGCATTTTATTTAGAAACATGAAATGCTGGATTTTTTGTTTTTTTTTTTTTTTTTTTTGTTTTTGTTTTTTTTTTTTTTTTTTGGAAAAATTACAAAACATTTTAAAAGAAATCAATCATTCAATTAAAAATGATTCAAAATCTATTTAAAAACATTGTTGTTAATCAAAAAATTTTAAATATTAGTAATTATGGTGTAAAGGAAAAAAAAAAAGTTAATTGTGACAAATTAGAATGTTAAACTGATAAAAATAATTATATAGTTAATATTAATTATTATAATTGATAATGATAACAAATGATAATGATAATGATAATAATAATCATAATTATAATCGCAGTAATAACGATTGCAGTAATAATAATATAACAATAATGGTAACAATGAACAATAAAAATATGTTGTTAAAAATTTGCATAATAAACTAATAATTACAGCTACGCTTAAATAATTAATTAATTAGATGTAATTAAAATGTTCACATTTAAATGTGACACAATTTGAATGAAAAACAAACCTAACAGTGTCAAAGATTTCAGGCTTATTTCTCTCTTGCATTTTCATCCTTTCTCGAATAACTGCCATTAAATTTTGTGTTCGATTACCTTCGCCGTGTTTTGAGCTTTTTCCGCCGCTCCTTCAAATGAATTTTATCTCGTAAAATTGACAACTTTTGTAATTAAATGAAAAAGAGCGTAAAATTGTTGAAATAATTGAAATGAAATGAAGCAAGAAAAGAGAGAGAGAAAAAAAAGAAAAAAAAAATTTTATTAAAATGTTAAATTTGACAGTTATACTTTACAACAAAATTTCTTCTTCATATAACATATCAGATTTCCTTTTTCATTAAATATTTACTTTACTATTGGATTAAAAATGGATTACAAAAAAAAGTTGGGTTGGAGTTTTTTTTTTTTTTTTTAAAATTTATCCAAAATTTAAAAATGAATACTTTGCAAACAATCGGCACTTAATAAATCACGGCATTTATCGTGTACTTTAACGCCACATTCTGCACATTTTAAACCTTGAAATAATTCAAATTTAACAATTTAAACAATTAAATTAGTATTTTTATTTTTTGAAAATATAAATTTATAATTAATAAAGGATAAAGCTATTTGTTATGCAACTAATTTTGTAGGCAATTTAAAAAAGGGAAATTATTTGTTATTGTAAAAAAAAAACATTCATTTCAAAGAGAAATAAGATAACCCAAAGCTTAAAAATTTGTTGAACAATTTAAATTTCAATCAGAGTTTTGGCAATTATGCCTATTATACTGATCAAACAACAATTGTGTTAATTGCTGCACGAATAAACAACAACAACAAGAACGATATGAAATACCTGATATGCTAGTCTTATTTGCTTAATAAAACTTTAGCAATATAAATAATACTAGACTAACCTTGTCGAGCTAGGCCCCACAATAACCCTTCACATTCATGGCACCATGTTGGAGTTTGAAAATTGGTCAATTGAAAATTATGCGGTGTTGTACAACTGATCGGATAAATTAAGGCTTGTAATGTTTTCTTGTAAACATGCATTTTCTGAAAAAAAAAAGTTCAAATAATAATAATAAGTAATACTAATAATAATAATAAGTAAACAATAATAGATGCAGAGAAAATGCATTGTCAAAACTATATAAATGCTAATTAATTTAGATTAAAATATTAATTTCCAAAATAAAATTTTTATCGTCCAAAAAACAAATTTTTCTCTTTTTTTTTTAAAAAAAAAAGAAAATATAATTTGAAATTGATTAACCAATTCTTCATCACCAAATGTTGTTTTAGCAGCATTTGCTAGGCCAGCTTGAGCACGTTTTGTTGCCATTGTCTACAATTAATATAATCATAATTTCATATTTTAAAAAATGATTATTCAAATAATGATAATTTACTAAATGATAACAATGATAACAATTAATTCAAGCTTTTAAAACATTCATCATTCAAATAAATTAATTTTGGTTAGTAAATATGTCTAATTAATTTCAAAACAACATAACAATACAGAAGGATAAGTTATTTCAGGTTAATTACTAAATATTTACAAACAAAAATTATTTGAAGCGTATAAGCAAAATGTGTTAGCATTTCAGTTATTTCAAAGCTAAACAAAACAAAATTTTGCATTATCTTTTTTTTTTTTAACTTTTTTTTATTTTCAATAAAACATATTTTCTTTTCATTATCTTTTTTTTTTCCTTTGTTTCATTCATAAATTTTTATTTTAAAAAGTAAAATTGAAATTTGTATTGAAAGAAAAAAACTATTATAATTTTTTTATAAAACTGAATAAAAATTAATTCATATATATATAAATAAATAAAATTTATCAAAGATAATTTTTATTATAACTGAAAATAAAATTTAATATAGCAATGAAAAGTTTATTAATTAAAATAGCTTTAAAATTCTTTTCGGAGAAAAAAAAACGAAATCAAAATAAACAAATAAAATTATTTAATTTCAAATTTGTAAAAAAAAAAAATTGAAAAAGAAAAAATATGCAAAAGAGAGAGAGAGAAAGAGAGAAAGAAAAGGGATAAATAGTTGCTTTCCAAGCAATTAAATTTATAATACTAAAAATTAATTAATAAATATAGAAAAAATGAAATAAAAAGAACTTAAAAAATTTATTCAAATAATCTTTTTGCATTTACAAATTAAGTATTCATTTACTGTTTTTCATTCCGAAAAAAAAAAAAGGAAATAGAAAAGAAAGGAAAAAAGTTTTTCATCTTATCAACATTATCTGTAAAGATTTCTTTTTTAAAATTTCTTTTTTTTTTAAATTAAAGATTTCTTTTTTAAATTATAATAGAATTTGAAATTAATAAATCACAATTATTAATTATTAATTAAACGTTATTTTGAGAGAAATATTCCAATTGCTTCTGATAAATTAATTTTTTTCTTAATGCATATTTTAATCTTTTTTGATTTTTTTCAAAAGATGAAACCTGAAATTTAATTATCAGAAACAATTAAAAGTTAATTTTGGGATTGATACATGCACATGCAAAAAGATTTAGCCATAAAAAAAAAAAAATTAAAAAAAAAATTTGGCAATAAATTAATGCAAGCAAAATTGTTAGTACTAAATTACAAACTAAATAATTTCTTCCTCTATCATTTAATAATTTTTATAGTAAAAATTATTTCATTCCGTGCATTTTATTTTATTATAAATTTTATTACTAAAATATTTTAATATCAATCATGCAAAAAAATAATGGAAAATAAACAAAATTTAACTTTTCTAATTGATAAAATTAGTATATTATAAACATATTACAATAATAATAAATCTTTAATTAATAAATTAAAGCCATGCTAAGCTATTATTATTATTATTTAAATAAAACATCGAAAAAAACAACCATAAAAAAAAAAAAAAATTGAATGCATTGTAGGTATTTACTTACCTTCAAAACCTGCAAAAAAAGAAAATAAAAAGTTTATTTTAGAAAAATTTTATGCTAATTACTCTCTTTTTTTTAAAAAAAAAGAAAAGTGACAAGAAAATCGTTTAATATAATTAAAGTAAATTTTTTTATTTTACTTTTAAATTTAGTAATACAAATTTTCAAATGTGTTAAATTTTTGCCAAAATTTAAATTTATCAAAAAAAAAAAAAACTTTTTTCAACCTTGCAACTTATAAATGAATTTGTTTAACAATGACAAAATTAATAATTATAAACAATAAATTAATATTTATAAGGAAAAACTTAGAACAAAATTATCCATAAATTACTGAAAAAAAGAAAATAAAAAAAAAAAAAGGTTGAAAATTCAAGGAAAATATGTAAATAAATGAAAAGAAAAAAGGAAAAATAGTTGATTTTTCCTCATATATTGTTTTTTTTTTTATTTTATTTTTTATTTTTTGTTTTGATTTTAAACATAAATTATTAATGGATGAAAATTAAACATTAGGAATGATTATAACATTTAAAATAATTATGATTAATTAGAAAGTTAACAAAATTAGTTCAAAAAAAAACTGAATTTACACTTTTTTTCTTTAATTTTAATATTGGTTAAAATTTTAGCAAAAAAAAAAAAAAAATTATTTATTCGTTTTATTTTTTGAATAATTTAAGCTAAAATCAATCTAATGAAGGAATCAATTCAATAAAAAAATAAAAATAATGTAATAATCGATTGATATAAATATTACAAATTTTATTACTTTTCAATTGCTAAAAATTTCACTAATTAGAATAATTAAATAAATAAATAAATTAGTTAATTGATAGAAATAATCAATAATCGAAAATAATCAAATAATCAAAATTATGAAACTTTCCCAGTGAGAAATTTAATTATTAGCTAAGAATCTCTATGTAAGACACAAAAAAGAGCTAATTAGTTAATTAAATAATTAAACTATTTAAGTAATTAAAATCATCTCTTCAAAAAAAAAAAAAAAAAATTAGCTATTAACAAATCCAATAATCGATTTAATTCAACATGAAATGAATTAAAAAATGATAAACAAACCTACTATTAGCTCAACTACTGTCAACTTAATGCTATTTGTTACATCAATTAGAATAAAGAAATAAACAAATTAATTAATTAATTAAGCTAATAAATAGTAAAAATTATGAAAATTTCACAAAATAATTTAATTCAAATAGGACTAAATTACATAGCATTAATTCATATTTAAATAGATTTATTCAAACTAAAAATTTAAAAAAGCAAAATAAATTAAAATTAAAAAAAAAAAACATACCAATTCACTAACAAGCGGTATTGTCTTTTTAGTGCGTGATATATTCATATCAGGCATTGCAACAATACTTTTATAAAAGGCACTTGATGAATTTTCAGCATTATCATCTTCTAATAATGTTGGCTGAAAAAAAATTTATCATATAAATTTCATCAATTTAGTTTCTTTTTTTTTTAAATTTTTTATTTTATTTTTTTTTTTTTAAAAAATAATAGTAACTTTTCTGAGTTATATAGCTTTATATAATCAGTATTTCAATTCATTCTTCTTCTATTTTTTTTTTAAGGTACGTCATAAACACCTGTTAAATTCACCTCCCACTCTTCTATATAGCCTATGATTTTTATTTTTTTTTAAATTATTACTATAGTAGTTATGTCATCTTACTTTTCTTTCTTTTTTTTTTTGTTCTTTGAAAATGATTTGTCAACTTTTTTACACGTCATTTATGTTTAATGTTTATAACAGATTTTCAACTCGTTACTTTTTTTTTTTTTAATTTGAAAATACATTTATCAAAGAAATAATTAGCTCTTTTTTTTTTCATTCACTTTTTTTTGATGAAATCATTGATCATATTTGTGACTTCACTTTTATTATTAAGTTGAAAAATTTTTATCAATAGAATATGCGCATTTCTATTTACTTCAAATATTCCGTCATTTTTGTAAATATATTCCTCTCTTTTTCTTTTTTTTTTTTTTTTTTGTTTTTAAATATTCTTTTAATTTGAAATATATATATATCAATGTTCTTGTAAATAATTTTTTTTTTTTTTTTTACCTGTTCTTTGCTAACCTTTGTTCGGTTAAATTATTATAAACAACCAAGAATTGTGATTAAAATTTAAAAAAAAAAAAAAATTAAAAATTGGTGGATTATATATTAAATATAAATCGTTTTTCTGCTAATGAATTTTTTGTTAACTTTGAATTTTAATTAATTTCAAAAATTTTTCACCAATTTATTAAATTTATACAGAATTCTTGACTAAATTCGAAATTGATTCATACAATGTAGGCTTTTTAAGATTTTTAATTTTATTTAATCATATTAATTAGCTTATTTAACTTTGGAAAAAGACTAACTTTTATTCAAAAAAAAAAAAGAAACTAATTTAAAAGGAAAGCTTGAAAATATGAATTTTTTGAAAAAAAAAATAAAAAGATAACGTGAAATTTGTATATTTAAAAGTGTAGTCATTTTCAAATTTACAAAATTTAATTTTTAATATTTTTTTAGATCAATTATTTTATTTGCCTTAATTTATTTTATGAATATATTTATAAATACAAAATTTTATTTAACATGTTTTTCTGATTAATCGAATTGTTTTCTTTTTTTTTTTTATTTTATCACAAATATTCAACAAGTGGGTTTAATCTATTTATGGATAAATTTTTTTTTTTTATATATTTATATGAAATATATAAAAATATATATTTATGAATGTTCCAAACTTAAGAATATGAATTTTTTGTTGTTTGCATGAATAAATTTTGCGATAATTGAAAGTAACATGAAAATGTGAGAAGGAAAGAATTAATTCAACTTCAAATCATCATTTTCCTCTCTGACATTTCCAAATTTTGACAACTTCTTCATTTCGTATTCCTTCTTATTTCCCTCCCACCAAAAAAAAAAAAAAAAAAAATCAAACTTTTTTATCCAACAAAAAAAGTGCTTACAGACCACTTCAAAAATTTTTTCTTTTCATCATTTGAATTAAATAAAAAGGAAATAAAATAAATAAAAAAAAAAAAGAAAAAGGAGAGAAAAAAAAATAATTTATTATTAATTCAATTTAGTGATTTGTTATCAATTCATTAATTTTTGTATTATATTAGTTTAAAAAAAAAAAAATACTTCAAAAAATTAACAAAATTTAAATCAATAAAATATTACGCACTTAGGTATTCCTTTTTTCTTTCACTACCATAATTATTTGTGAAAAGAACAAAAAAAATCTAAAATATAAAATTTGATAAATTGGAAACAAAAAAAAAAAAAAAATGAAAGAAAAAATTTAATGTAATTATTCATTTGTAATTTAAATGTTATATATTACTTTAATTTAATATTTGATTGAATTTATAATATCAAAATAGTTGAATATTTCGTATGTAAAAGTGGAAAATGAAGAGAGGGAGAGAGAGAGAGAGAGAGAAAACGATATGAGAAATAGTAAGAAAAGTAAGAGAAAGGTTAATTATTTTTAAATTAAAATTATTTACTACTATAATTTAAAATTATAAAGTAAACTAACTTACCTTACGAAATTGTTTCATTGTATCACAGAGATTTAATTTAGTAATAAACATTAGTGTTGATTTTAACAATTTTGTAGTGCTATCATTTGTTTGTTTACAATTATCAGTAATTGCTATTGAACCATTTGTTTGTAAATAATGATCAAAATTGCAATTATTCCTTGCAATGTGATAATTATTAGTTGAAATGATTGATGAAGATGGAAATGTTGTTGTAATTATTGGTATTAATGAATTGAATCGATATTTTTGGTGATAATTTTGATAAATTTCCATTTTATCCATAGTTGAAGTTTTCTTTTTCACTAATCGTTTATCGTTATCACGTACAACAAGGTATAAATCATTGGGATTTGGTAAACTTGTTGAACGAATTTTGGTATATTCATAATTATCATTATCATTATCATTATCATTGCTATTACTATTATCATTATGATATAGTGATCTATGATTAATATTTTGTTGTTTGAAAGTTTCAGCTCGTCGTACTTTCTTGAATGATTGTGAAAATGCTAATAATGCAGCAGTTGGATCAGATACGGTAGATTGCATTATTGTTGGATTAATTTTTTTAATTAAAAATTTTTTTTTTTTTAAATCATTAATTGATTATATAATATTTTGTTGGAAAATAACAACAAGAATTCAGCATTTTTTAGCAAACAAATTGTGAATAATAATAAAATTCATCAATTTGATTTCATTTTGAATTAGTTTAAAGATGAAGCAAAAAATAATAGTTAATCGAATTAAAAATTAGCAAATCCGAAAATCGAAATGAATAAGCAGAAATTCAGTATAAATATATAATTTAATGAGAAATCAGTAGTAAGAATATTCCAGCAAAATATTAATATCCTGAATTAATAAACAAAAATAAATAAATAAATAAACATAGATGTATGCATACTTTTTTCCGTATGATCAAATAGCATTTCGATAATAAATTAAAATAAAACAATTCAAAATCCATTTGATTATACCACTAAAATGTTATATGAAAAAGATAAACAAAAAGAGGAAAAAAATTCGAATCTAAATTTTAAATAATTATTTTTATAGTCCTTTAATTCAAGCAAATTGGAAAAAAAAAGTTAAAATAAATATATAATTTTTTTTTTCTCCTATTATACACAGCAATAAAAAATTAGAATTTTTTAAAATTAGTTTTTAATTTCCTGATAATGAATTACTAATATAGGATCCAAGGATATCACTTATTCAATGTTCAATGTTATAAATTTCAATTTTATCTAGAATTAGTATAAATTTCAATTTAATCTAGAATTTGTTACACTGATATAAGTCATAAAAATATCTGTAAATAACAGTTTGCGCCAAAAGAAATATCATTGCTAGTGATAAGTTACTTTGATATAAGTAAGTTATTTTGAATAAAAATAATGCAATTTTTTTTCTTTTTTTGGTTTTTTTTATAAAAAACAAAATGCAACATTAAATCCTTTCAAATTCAATAATTTTATGTTTATTATTTAGGAAACGAATAGTTGTATCACCGATAAGTTTTGAGCTCAGAGTATATTATTTAATCATATCTGCAAATGATAACTTACTCTGATAACATATATTGATCTTATTTGTAAACAATGACTTACTCTGGTAACAAATATTGATCTTATTTGTAAGTAATAACTTACTCTAATAACAAATTTTGATCTTATTTGTAAGTAACACTTTGCAATAAGTTTTTAGTCTAACATTCATCGATTTAGCTATTTTTTTTGTCATAAATAATAAACATAAAATAATTGAATTTAAAAGAAACCAAAAAAAAAAAACAATAAACAATAAACATTATTATGGGTAATTATTTTCATCAAATTGTTTTTCATCAAAATATTTAACATATATTTGACAATAAAATAAATTTGATTGTATAAATAATTCAATAAATTATAAATAAATAATGAATAAAAACTAATATATTAATTAAAATTTAAAATTGAAAAGAAAACAAATATTAAAACGGTCAATAAGAGGAGAGAGAAAAAAAAATAATTGAGAATACAAAAAAAGAAAAAAGTTTGAATTGAAAAAAAGATTAGGGAATAACTGATATGGGAAAGAAGAATACTGAGGGAATGAGAAAGAGAGAGAGAGAGAGAGAAGCAGAAAGAGGGAGGGAAAAAAGAAGAGGAAGAAGTAGTCTCCTCCTCCTTCACTCTCTCTTCTTTCTCTCTCTCCCTCCTCTTTCTCTTTCACTCTTTTTGTGTTATTTCATTGCATTAAATACAAACATATTTTTAATCATAATTATTTGTTTGAAAAGATTGTAATGAAAAATGTTAAAATATTTTTTATTTGCTGTAATTATTGATAATTTTACATTTATATGCCATTATTATGTGAAAGTGTAGGTGTAAATATGAAATTAAGAAAGTGTAGGTGTAAATATGAAATTAAGAAAGTGTAGGTGTAAATATGAAATTAAGAAAGTGTAGGTGTAAATATGAAATTAAGAAAGTGTAGGTGTAAATATGAAATTAAGAAAGTGTAGGTGTAAATATGAAATTAAGAAAGTGTAGGTGTAAATATGAAATTAAGAAAGTGTAGGTGTAAATATGAAATTAAGAAAGTGTAGGTGTAAATATGAAATTAAGAAAGTGTAGGTAAATATGAAATTAAGAAAGTGTAGGTGTAAATATGAAATTAAGAAAGTGTAGGTGTAAATATGAAATTAAGAAAGTGTAGGTGTAAATATGAAATTAAGAAAGTGTAGGTGTAAATATGAAATTAAGAAAGTGTAGGTGTAAATATGAAATTAAGAAAGTGTAGGTGTAAATATGAAATTAAGAAAGTGTAGGTGTAAATATGAAATTAAGAAAGTGT